TCACCCAGGCTGGAGTGCTGTGTTGAGATCATAACTCACTGTAGCCTCAAAGTCCTGTACTCAAGTGATCCTCCTGTCTCAGTCTCCCAGAGTGCTGAGGTTACAAGTGTGAGCCATCACAGCCAACCACGCACTGTTATGGGTAAATGCGTAAGTACCATTAACTCTGTATCACCACCGTGTGAATTTCCCACTGGCTAGAGTATGCTGAAATGAGAGCTTGTCCTCTGATAAACAAAGGAAACCAAAACACATTGCAAAGTCTGCTGCCATTGGCGGAGCATTTGTGCTGCCAGGCATCTGTCTTGCTTCAGACTGCGCTGTATCTTGAGAGATAGGCATAGAGGATGTGAAGGGAGCGTCTCCAGGACCATGGCTCCCTTCCCCAAGTAGTGTGAGAGAAATGGGAGAGCCTCTTCTCTAGAGGCGCGTCCTCATAACTGTCCTCAACTGCTCTCCCTGCTAGAGCCTGTCCCTGAGATCCAAAAGGTGGTGACCTGACATGTGTGCCCCGACGGTACCTAGTAGGTGCAAGAGACAAAAGTGGGCTTTATCTGTTTTTCTGCAGGCCCAGGGCAGTTTAGGGACACCGGTACACACCAAAGTCACAGGTCGGAGAGGTGTCAGGAAGCAGGAAGAGGTCCTGGGGCAAGTTGAGGATATGGAGTTCGGGGTTTTAAGGGACGGAAAGGACTAAGGAGGAGAGAGGAAGATGAGAAATGGAGGAAGGATTGTAGCGGTGAGGGCGCGGGGCGCAGAAGGCGGGAGGGGAGAGTGGGGAGAGCAAGAAGGAGTAAGGGGCCGCGAGGACTGGAAAGCCACGCACGCGGGCGAGGCGGCCCCGGGGCCGGGCGGGCCGGGAGGGCGCGGAGGCGGGGCGGCGGGGCGGCGCTGTCAGTGCGAGACGGCGAGCGGAATGCAGCGGCCAGAGGCCTGGCCACGTCCGCACCCGGGGGAGGGGGCCGCGGCGGCCCAGGCCAGGGGTCCAGCGCTGCCCGCCCGAGCCGGGGAGCCCTCGGGGCTGCGGGTACGGAGCGGGCGGGTACGGGGGTCCCGGGCGGCGGCAGCTGGGCGGGGACGGAGCGGGGGAGGAGGAACAGCCGACTCAGAACTCGCGCTCCGGGCGGCTGGGAACTTTGTGCCACCCGCAACCAACTCCAGGGAGGGGGCCCGGGCCCAGGACAGAGGAGAAAAAGTTCGTCTCAGCGCCAGTTGGCCAGGAGGCCTGTCCTGAGTCCGGCGGAGCCGGGCTGGAGTTACGGGTCTGTTTGGAGCAGGGGTGGGGGTGGGCAGAGATTCCGCTGGGAGGGGTAAGTGGTGACGCGTCTGCCCCGGACTCGAACTTCCTTCGCCAGCGGGTGACTGGCGGTGGGTGACAGGTGTGCTTCTGGAGCCCACCAGGGCCAGGGTCCAGGGCCCGCCCGGGCTCAGCCAGAAGGAGGAGGCTCGGCCCGCTGTCCCCCCCGGCCCAGGTTCTGTGATACACTCCGACTCGGGCTCTGGAGCAGTCAGTGCATGACAGAACTTGGGCCCGGAAGGACCTTCTGCACCCATCCGGGCCTGCAGTGGAACATCTGCCTGAGGATGGAATGGGCACTGGAGCTGGCCTATGTGGCACAGCTGTGGAGCCAGCTGTGGACCTTTGGGACTAGGGTTGCTGGAGCCTGAGGATGTACTCCTGGGGCCAGCAGATTCCAGGAGACAGGAGGCAAACAGAACTCTCCTTCCTGATGTCAGTTGCAGGAACCTTCCCTCTACACCATCAAGGCTGTTTTCATCCTAGATAATGATGGGCACCGGCTGCTGGCCAAGGTAACCCCCCACCTATCCTATGAGGCCCTGAAGAAACAGGGTTTCAGCCCCAAGAACAGAGGTCCACCCCAGTGACACTCCCATCCCCGGAGACTCCACTGTCATCTCTGTGACTCAGAGCAATTCAACTTAGGCCCCTCCAGAGCTCATTCTGTCCATCTTTCTGCTTGTCAAGCTGCTGGCCCCTGAAAGGGGGGAATCTCCTCTCTTTCTGCTTGTGTTCTCCGAAATATCTTCTCATCACCCTTCCACTGGCAGACATGGGAACTACATTGAACTGAAGAGCAACTCAGTTTAGCTATGAAATGCATTACAGATTTTCTGTTTCTTTGGAGGTGAACCTTTTTTTGTCATCATGACATTCAGATGAGCTTGTTCAGCACAGCAGTGGCCAGCAAGGAGACTGCTAATTTTCCTGTAGATGGAGTACTAAGTGGCAAAATCCACATCCAGAAAATTGAAGGCTGAGCTGACCACCCCTCACCCCTGCACATGGTCAGACATGGATCAGCAGTGCCAAAGTCTCCAAGGCCACCTCCCAGTAGCACCTATTCAAGCTACAGATTAAGAAACTGAGTCCAGAGTGGCACCTGTGGCTCAGTGGGTAGGGCGCCGGCCCCATATACCAAGGGTGGCAGGTTCGAACCCAGCCCCAACCAGCTAAAACAGCAATGACAACTACAACAACAACAAAAAAAGTCAGGCATTGTGGCAGGCACCTGTAGTTCTAGCTACTCAGGAGGCTGGGGCAAGAGAATTGCTTGAGCCCAAGAGTTGGAGGTTCCTGTGAGCTGTGACTCCATGGCACTCTACTGAAGGCGACAAAGTGAGACTCTGTCTCAAAAATAATAATAATAAATTAAATTTAAAAGAAAGAAAGAAAGAAAGAAACTAAGTCCAAGAGAGGCCCACCAAACCCAAACAAAAAAAATTGATTGGCTCGGCACCTGTGGTTCAAGTGGCTAAGGTGCCAGCCACATATACCTAAGGTGGCAGGTTTGAATCCAGCCCGGGCCCACAAAACAACAATGATGGCTGCAATCAAAAAAATAGCCAGGCGTTGTGGTGGGCACCTGTGGTCCCAGCTACTTGGGAGGCGGAGGCAGGAGATTCGCTTGAGCCCAGGAGTTGGAGGTTACTGTGAGCTGTGGTGCCACGGCACTCTACCCAGGGGGATAGCTTCAGGCTCTCTTTCTCAAAAAAAAAAATTTGATTTTGTTATGGAATATGTACCAGGAAATTTTCTTTTCTTTTCTTTTTTTTGTTCCCACCCTCCCCCCGAAATTTTCTTTAGAAATTTAGTCTTCACCATAATATTGTCTGAAGTCAGACTGTCCTCAGACTGTCCTTGGTGTTGAATCCTGGCTTTAGTTTCCCAACTGTGAGATGCTGGGACTTCTGCATGCCCCAGTTTCCTCATCTATATAAGAAAGATAATAAGTAGTTGTTGTTATGATTGTTAGTGTTGTTTAGGAAGGACCCCTGGCATTGCCATCTTCCCTGTAGACTCAGGTCAGTGTAGAAACAGTGTGACTTAGTGACCATGCCACTCATTAGCACCTGGAATATCTATTGAATGTACAAGAGCCTCCAAGAAACCAAGAGGCAGCTGGTGGCTGTAATCCTAGCACTCGGGGTGGCCACAGTGGGTGGATTGCCTGAGCTTAGGTGTTCGAGACCAGTCTGAGCAAGAGTGAGACCCTCTTTCTAAAAACTAGCCGAGCGTTGTGGTGGGCTCCTGTAGTCCCAGCTACTTGGGAGACTGAGGCAAGAGGATTGCTTAAGCCCAAGAGTTTGTGGTTGCTGTGAGCTATGATGATGCTATGGCATTCTACCCAGGGTAAGACTCTGTCTTAAAAAAAAAAAAAAAGAAAGAAAGAAAGAAAGAACAAAGAAGAAAGGAAGGAAAGAAAGAAAGAAAAGAAACTAAGACGGGATTCAAAAGCTGGCGACAGTATTCCTCTATATTTGGGGACTTGCTTTGTTTAGAATGTGCTTATGGGGCAATAGTGAGAAGACAGACCTAGAGAACAGTACTGGGGCACAGCACCAGGGTTCCGCTTGGCCAGCACCCCTGTTCCCTGCACACCCATCCAAGGAGGAGCCAGACCCTGTGGATGGCCATGGCCCCTTCTTTTTCTCCCTCTCTAGTATTATGATGACACATTCCCCTCCACGAAGGAGCAGATGGTCTTTGAGAAAAACGTCTTCAACAAGACCAACCGGACTGACAGTAAGTGTCCACATCTTCCTTTGCCACAATTCCAGAACACACACAGTCATCTTCTCCATCGGGACACCTCTGTGTCTGTTGGTCTCACACACCCACAGGCCAGGCCACTCCCCCTGTTCTCCACCTTCTTCCTCCAGGAAACCTTTACTCCCCATTACTCTCCATTCCTGCTTATCAGGTCACCCAGACCTCTCTCCCAGCTGAGGAGGCCAACTGTGCTGTGGTTCCCTTACCAACTTGGATCTTGTTCCAACGTGTTGCATGTGGTGGGATGGTGGGTGGGAGATTGACTAGTTAACACCTGGGTTTGTGGGTTCCTCAGAGTGCAGGAGTCCCTGGACATACAGCAGCGGATGGGGAGAAGGACACAGAGAAACCTAATTATAGTGTCCCTAGTGCTGGTTTGTCCAAGGGATCCTTTGAAAGTGAAGGAGGAAATAGAAGAAAAGGCGTAGAATAGGAGGCAGGGAGGAGGGGCCGGCTGGGACCAGCCAGAGCGGTCAGAACTTAAAGATCCCTCTACTTCTAGGTGAGATTGCATTTTTCGGGGGCATGACCATCGTCTACAAGAACAGCATTGACCTCTTCCTGTATGTGGTGGGCTCATCCCATGAGAATGAGGTGAATTCAGGAGGTTGGGGTGACAAGGAGGGTCTGTCCATGGGGGAATGGCTTGGAATCTGGGGTGGAGACTGAGATCGGGAGGCTCATTATTAGTACCCCTCCTACTAGTCTCCAAGGAGTAGGGGGGGAGTCAAAATGGTTCTTTCTGGGACAACACATATTCCTGTTGCCCCTTAGGTTCCTTGGGAACCATAAAGGAGGTCATGACCTACTCTCCAGGGAGGCGTTGTTTCCTTCTTGAACATAACTAGAGAAGGATACCCTCACTGTCCCCCAGTGGAGTGCTGCAGTGTTTCCCAGCCCAGACACGGGGAATTTCCTGCCAAGGTCAAACTCCAGTCAGTCTCTAGCCCAGGCCTCTCTGAAAGGGGGAAAAAACTGCCCTCGGCTGGCCACACGGGTGAGCTCTGAGGGCTTTGTATGGCCTTCTCAACTTCAAGCTCTCTCCTTCTCCTCCTCTCTTATTGCCCATCTCAGCTGATGCTCATGTCTGTTCTCACCTGCCTGTTTGAGTCTCTGAACCACATGTTAAGGTGAGTGAACTTCTCCACCCTCCCAGGCCCTACCCCCAGGCTGTGATATGGCTCAAGGGTAAGGCCCCTTCCTCCTGCTTTTCTCCTGAAGCCTCCACAGGAATAAGATAGTCCAGTGTGAATGAAAGTTCACAGTCAACACAATTAACCCTAGTAGGAGTATAGCATCTAAGCTACCTATGAAATGCATTAGAGGCCCCGAGGTGGGCCTGGTGGTGTCAATGCCTAAGGCATGGGTGGTTGGGCAAAGTGCGGCTCACAGCAGACCTGACCTATGCTCAGGAAGCACCGTGGTTGCTCCCTTCACCTTCTCCTTCCCAGTTCTCATATGGGGCTGGGGGGAGTGAGGCAGTCTCTGGAGAGACAGTCTGCCTCACCTTCGCTGTGACTCAGTTCCTCTTGGCCACCAGGAGGCTCAGGAGCTTGTCCCTACCTTTAGGAAGAATGTGGAAAAGCGCTGGTTGCTGGAGAACATGGATGGAGCCTTTTTGGTGCTGGACGAGATTGTGGATGGCGGGTGAGGATGGGTTGGAGAGAAGAGGGGATGGTCATGGACACTCACAGCGAGGGGTGCCGTTGAGGGTCATCAGCTCCAGATGGCACCCAGCACACCACTGGGCTCTCCGCCCAACTTCTCCCTCCTTCACCCCAGCATATTCCCAGTGATCCCATTACTCACACCTGGCTCATGAGGATGGAGGTTGATTTCAATGTTAGCCAAAGTCAAAGGAAACAAGAGAGCTATCTGATGTCCAACTATGGGAGACTGTTGAATAGGCAGGGCTTAAGGGAAATCTGGTTTGATCTCCTGTGCCCAGGAGAAACACAGATGCTGGCCCTTCTTGGTACTAGACGAGATTATGGATGGCAGGTGAGGGTGGGATGGAGAGAAGAGGGAATGGTCATGGACACTCACAGTGAGAGGTGACTTTGAGGGTCATCAGCACCAGATGGCACCCAGCATACCCCTGGGCTCTCTGGTCAACTTCTCTGGAAGTCTGGAAGGACTTCAGACAGAGTGACCTTCCACTCTTAGAGCTCCACTCCAACACCAGCTTGACTTGGACCAGTTACTACTTCTCCCTGAGCCTTAACTTCCCCATCTTTAAAATAAGGATGATAAGCAAACTACCTCAGGATTATCAGGATTACATGAGTTGATGTAGGCGAAGCTTGTGGTTTTTATTCAATAGATGCCACCTCCCATTGGTGTGCTAGTGTGTTCTTATGACGCTGGGAGCCTTTTTGAGAAAGGTTGGTTTGTGGATTTCCATCAGGTGAGGGGTAATATTCAAGGCGAAAAAGAAGTCCTGGCTCTGGGTGGGCAAAGAATAATAGAAACTTCTTGAGTACCTTAAAAACATCTGCATCCCTCTATCATTATATCCATTTTATACACAGTATTAGGACACAGAGCCTCAGGGATTTAAGTGAGTGGCCCCAAGGTGAATGGGACAGTCTCTGGAGAGAAAGGGTTGACTCGGTTCCTCCCAGCCACATGGAAGAGCACACAAAGCCAGGAAGTGACAAGGCCAAGATTTAAAAACCACAAGCCTGGTTCTGGAGACTGTGTTCTTTTGGTGGCACTGTCCCAAACTGCCTGGGGACTACAGAATCCCTCCTTCCCTCTGTAGCAGTTACCTGCCTGCTACTGCTAGGCCTTGAACAGATTTCTAGGACCCAAAAGTAAGTGGGCTAAGATCAGATTTTTGTGGAACCACAGGCATAATTTGGTGGACCCTCTTGAAAGAATACTACACACACACATACTATGTTGAAAATTACAAATACAAAATGAGGTGCAGGGTTTCAGAAGGCTTGTGCAAAAAAGGGTGCTGAAACGTAAGATTCACAAGCTTCCCTGTCTCTGCCTTTAAGGAGATCATAGTTTCCTACCCTGGAAAACCAGGGAAGTGAGCCCTGAACATCCCTTGGCCTGGGAGGCTCTGTCCTTATAGACTGTGGGATCTCTGGCTAGGAAGCCTGGGGCTGGTACATCGAGCCCAGGAAATGTGCCTGAAAGAGGCTTCCAAGAAGTGTTTGTCATTTCCATTATTTTGGTAAAAAAGAAGAAGCTGAAAACCCCCATACTGTACCCCAGAAGTGCATTAATGTACATAGTTACCATTCAATAAAAAAAAAAAAAAAGGAAAAAAAAAGACAAAAAAGAAGAAACTAAGCTTCTGACCTGGAGGAGCCTTGCTGGGTAAGGACGGGCACTCAAGGCCTGTCATTTCTGTCCTGCCCATGCTGGCACTCCCCCCACCCTGTACACTCCCCAGTGCCACATGAAAGGTGCCCATGAAAGAGTGCCCACTAGCTGAGAAAAAGCCTCTATATTTGGGTCTTTCAAAAGGGAAGATTTTAAAGAAAAAAAAAACTAAAGAAAAAATTTTTTTAAAAAAGGTAGATTCTGACTTTTGGAGTTCCATTTCTTTCATGTAGGCCCTGACCCCATCGCATAAAATACTAGTGAAGTAAGATGAGAACTCTTGGGACCTCCCTTCCTTCACACATCTGAGTCTTTTCACAGGAACCCACCCCTAGACCAGAGGTGATATGAGCTTTGAAGAGCTCTGAGTTTTGTAAGTCTCTGCTTTTGATAACCTGATCATTCTAGAAGGGACTGCTCTTATCCAATCTCAAAGTTTTTACCCAGGGATAATCAAGTATGTGGATCACTGGGTTAAAGTATTGAAGAATCAGAGCTGAGAGCCCTCCATGGTGAGGGAGAGTTCTGACTTGCAGACTGTTGGATGGGAAGGGCCCCTGAAAGGGGAGATGTGGCAGGATGCAATGAAGAGAGGGAAGAGGCTTGACAGAGAGCGGAGCTGGAGGGGAGGATCAAGTCGCTGATTTTCCTCCTGGTTTTTCCTCTCATTTTGTAGTGTAATCCTGGAGAGTGACCCCCAGCAAGTGATCCAGAAAGTGAATTTTAGGGTAAAGACTTTTCTGCATGCCCCCCTCCCTCCCTTCTCCTCCACGCTGGCTTTCCTGTCCTCCCCACCTTCTGTCCTCCCTGGGTCTGGGGTGGCCAAGGCTGAAATGTTCTATGGAAGCCCAAGGTCTTACGGCAGAAGCCAGCTAGTGGGTCAATACACCTGTTAGGGCTGGGGTAGGTGGGCAGCAGTTTGGGGGGTGGAATGTCCGTTAATAAAAGATCTTCCCATCCTCTCTCCCTGGAAGACACAAGTACCTCACCATTTACCCCTGGTAGGAAGTATAGACTGGGGAAATAAATCCTCAGAGAGGCATCAGGTGGCTTCCTTGCCCTTAGGGACCCTGGCTTCCAAATGACAGGCTGCAGAACGTCTACTAACTAATGATACAACTGCAGTTCTGGTCCACCTCACCCCCAAGTCTCTTTCCTTCACTTCCCTGACCTAGAACCTTCACCCTGGCCTGACCTTCCCTCCCCCAAATCTGTTTCCTCACAGGCAGATGATGGTGGCTTGACTGAACAGAGTGTGGCCCAGGTAGGAACCCTGCATCTCCCTTGGCCAGAGATAGGTTAGAGAGATAAGGAGAACAGAACATTCCAGGGACCCAGGGAGGCTATCAGAGACAAGAGATGAAGATGAGGGGTGCTAGAGGGAAGGAATAAGATGGTTACAGGCTGTCTCTTGGAGAGACTCACTGGAGACGTCCTGCTCTCCCAGGTGGGGGAAGCTGGTACTAAATGATAGATGGGCACGTTACCATCAGCTCAACCCAGGATGAGCTGCCCACCCTGGGATGGGTGGGTCACTTGTTCCCCCCCTGAAAATCTGATGACTCCCAAACCTGGAAAGAGTACTCAATAGAAGGTTACCTCCAAACCCCATCCTCACCACTTATGGTCAACACTGGGATTGTTAAGGGATTCTCAAACCCACCACAGGGTGTGACTTGCCCCACATATCATTTGCCACCTTGCCCCTGAGTGGCCCTGCTGTGGAAAGGCCCACCCTTGCCACACTCCCGTATGGTCCTATCTGGGCATGCCTGTGGAGCCAGGGGCTGGGAGGTAACTAGATCTGAGGCCTGATTGGTTCCCAGCTGCACAGACTTCCTGCTGGTCAGGCATTGTGTCTTGACCTCTGTTCTGTCTGCCCACAGGTCTCTCTGCTCAGACTAATCCTTGCATGGAACTTCCTGCCCTGGCACTAACTCCCTCCTGCCGTGGTGGCCCTGCCAAGATGGGCCTGTGCCATCTCAGGGGTGGTGCCTACTTTCCTACACTGCCCTTGGTGCTCACGCTGCCTAGTTCTGTGACTCCCCTGCTGGAATGAGGAGTTTTGGGGGCAGAAAGAGGTTAGGGAACAATGAGCAGCTCAGATAAGAGCACAGGTGCTCATGTGAGTCATCCCAGAGTACATGTTCCACCTCACCACCTAAAGCTGGGTGACCTGGGGCAAGTTATTCAACCTGTCTGGGCCTCACATAACAACAGAACCCTCCTTAGAGAGTTATTATGAGAATTAGATGAGCCAATGCATGGCAAGCTCTTAAGATAGCTACTAGCAAGTCATACATGCTCAGTAAATGGTCATTACTATTTTTCCAAAGGGGGGGGAAATGAAAACGTAGCTTTTAAAAATAGAATTACTGAATAAAAACAAGGGAAGCTGCAGGCAGCCAATGGGGATAAAAGGCAGAGAAAGATTTCAGCTGGGAAAATCGAAGGAACACCAGGCCAAGCTGTTTCTAAGGGAGGAGGAAGGGACATACACACTGTGGGGTGGACCTTTGAAAGGGAATGAGGGCTCAGCGCCTGTAGCTCAAGTGGCTAAGACACCAGCCACATACACCTAAGGTGGCGGGTTCGAATCCCCAGCCCGGACCCGCCAAACAACAATGATGGCTGCAACCAAAAAAATAGCCAGGCGTTGTGGCAGGCGCCTGTGGTCCCAGCTACTTGGGAGGCGGAGGCAGGAGACTCGCTTGAGCCCAGGAGTTGGAGGTTGCTGTGAGCTGTGATGCCATGGCACTCTACCCAGGGTGACAGCTTGAGGTTCTGTCTCAAAAAAAAAAAAAAAAGCAAAGGGAATGAGGTTCACTGGCTGGAGGGACAGGCTGCGGGATTATGTGTGTAGTTGTGTAGATGTGTGTGAACCCGGGCCTGAGAATGTTTCCTCGGCATAGCATGAGAGTGTACACATCTAAGAGCAGATGTCCCATGGCAAGGCCTGGCTGGCCACCTTTGCCAGCTGTGCCACATCAGCACTGGGTTGGGATGAGGTGTTGAGGACACAGCCAGCCAAGGCCAGAGCTAGGGCTTTGTTGTAGTGTCTGAGCGTAAGTGTCAGGTCTGAACCCAGCCTCTGCCTGGACGTGGCACTGTGGGTGGGAACATGGAGAGACTGGCGCCATGCCACACCCACAGCTGCAGATGCAGGAACCAGAGGGTTGGGCAGGCCCTGGCTTGAGGTGGGAGCTGGCTGCAGCCAGTTTGGCCAGTGCCCATTTAAACCAGGCAGAGACAAGCTGCTGCCACCTAGTGACTGGGGGTTGCAGGGGCACTTGAGGAAGATGGGCTGTAGACTTCCGCATGATTTGGTGGTAAGGCATCCGACATTCCCCTCAATTCTTTCTCTCAACCTCTCCTACCTCACCCCAGGTTCTTCAGTCTGCTAAGGAACAAATTAAATGGTCGTTATTGAAATGAAAGGTGTGAACTCAAGGCTCCTTGCTCCTCAGACCATTTCTTCAATCCTGGCAAAAGATCAAAGGCCCCAAGCATCAGGGGAGACTCTTCTGCACCCCTCGGCCTCCCCCAGAACTGGCTCCTGAAGTCTCTGGCCAGGGATTCTGAGAGAGAATAGGTTTGGGCCCAGCACTGAGTCACCTCTTCTTTCTGCCTGGCCTTAACTCAGACCTTAGACATTCCCAAGACCCTAATAAATCTGCTTTTGCCTCCTGCCAAGGTCTCTTCTCTCTTGGCCTAGGAAGTGTGTGTGTGTGTGTGTGTGTGTGTGTGTGTGTTCAGATAAAGGCTCCAGCGCCATCTGTGGCCCATGGGATCTCCAGAACTGGGGTGGGGCATATCCCCGTGGTTGTGTGATTGGGGAAAGGGGTGGGTCATGGGAAGGGGACCACTTAACACAGTGAGGAGGCGCCATGCTTATACCATGGGGTCCCGTGGGTTTTGGGAGGGCCAGATATAGCTGTGTGACACAGTAAGAGCAAAGTGGGAAGAATGGCGTATGCTGCCGGGAAAAGGAGAGAGAAAGATGGTACCCCTATTTTGTACACGTATGGGTGGGATTCCTTGTCATGTTTTCCATTCCCAGCCTTCAGAAAGGAAAAGAGTAAGGCTTCCTCTGGACAAAGTGAGGAACAGTATAGCTGTTTTTGTTGGCATGCCTGGGATCCTGGAATTCCTATCCTGGCATATGCCCTGGGCACAAGAGCTCTGTGAACTTACAGTGACTCCGCCTGGATGCTGGGGGCGAGGAAGCATCTGCCAGTCCCCGCAGTGCATGTGTGTCCGAAGCACGTAGTGCGTTCCAGAGGGTGTGAAGAACTGCTGGTCCGGAGGGAGAAGGGGGCGGAAGGGGATCTCAGGGACAAATGAGGATGGAGATGTACTGTTTTTCTGGGAGACGCGCCTTCTCCTCTCTGCTGACCTCAGAACCTCAGATTTCCCGCTCTCTTTCTCTGACGCATATACTTCTCGGCGTCTTGTTACATACTGCCCCGAGCTCTAGTGCTGCTGCATTCCGGGACAGCTAGTTTCCCTCCACCCTTTGCAGACTGCGGCTGCTCAGGCCCAGCTCCCTCCTCCCCCCCGCCCCACCCCTTTCTGGAGCCTGGCACAGCGGGAAGCTCCGCCCCAAGACCGCATCCGTGATCCTATAGCACCACCTGCAGGGACAGGCAGGAAACGCGCTCCCGATAGGTCCGCTCCCCTAATTAACTCCGCCCCCAGGGCGGGGTCGACCCCGGCTCACAGGGTTCCTCGCAAGTCTCAGACACCAGCGCAAGGCGTTGTCCTAACAACCAGCACGCTTGACCCGCCCAGCGAGTTTGGCACTAGCCAGGGCACTGGAATTTCCGCCAGCTGCTACTGTAAGAAAGTGGTGCGCCCAGGGTGTTAATAGAGGTTGTCCCTGTTGTTATCACGTCCTAAGATTGGGTATTTATAATGTTCTTGACTACTGTAATTAGAGAAAATGACAAAGATATAATTATGTGAACATATGCATTGTAAGTGCTGAGTGCATAACCCATTCTAATAAATAACGCAAAATAACAGCTCTAAAAGTGGGGGGAAAACGAGTATACAATTCCCTCCTGTAACTAACGGATTGTGGGGAGAGGGGTGGCTATGGGAGAGGAATAATCTCTAGAAATGTTTTGGAAAATATGCAGTCACACCCAGTGTCTGGTTCCATCCACCGTCCCTAAAAAACTGCAAGGACGGGAGGGGCAAACGCCCTTGCTAGCAACCCTGTTGCGCTCGCCTTGCCCGGCTGTTCCAGTTGTGCAGGGGCGGGAATGGGAAGGGACAAGAGCCTGAAGTTTCGCGCCAACTGGCTCACCCAATCCAACGAATTACTCGATGCTCTCCCTATTTCACCGAGGGGGAAAAGTTATAACCTCTGAAAGGTTATGGTGTTCTTGGAAGCTTCCGCAGAGTCAGGCCCAGATGGGAACCTGCAGAGGACAGGTGACCTTCCGGTGCCCCTTGCCCTAGGGCCATCTGAACGCCTCTCCCCCACAGGAATTGTACTGGGTTTAAAAGAATGAGCTGAGAGGGCATGGCAATGCAGAAAGGTTACCATAAAGATGTCCTCAACTCCTGTAACTAAGGGACTGTGGGGAGAGGGGTGGTTGCAAAGCAGCCTACCCAGGCCGGCGGCGAGAAGAGGACAGCTGAGAGGGAACTGCACAGACCACCGGAGAACCCGAGGAGGGCCGGCAGGAATGGTCGCTGCCCTTTTCCAAGGACCCCAAGTTTGTAGACCCGGCCTTCTGGGTTCTGACGTGGAGACCCCGCTGGGGTTGTAGGGCCGCGGGCCTCTTGGTGCTCCCATCCCCCTCTTGAGGCCCGCAGGATGGCTGGCCTGGCAGACTGCCCAGAACTCTACCCACTGGCACCAGCTTCCCTCAGAAGGCCTCATTAGCTCTGCCCCAGGCCGGATCCTGAGGGCGCCGAACAGAGCGCGGAGCACCGAGTTTCTGGAAGGGCAGTCCGTGGTTCCGGGTGGAGCGACCGCAGGGACCTGCTTTTCTGCCTCCTCCCAACCCCAGGGCCCATCTCCATCTTCCTGCATCCCTCTTCCTTGCCCTGGTGGGCGACCCTGCTGGGCCCCGAGTGTATGCCGGGAAGGGGGCACAGGACGCCTTCTACCACCCGCTGAAATGGCACCAGCACACGTCTGAAACCGAGACCTCAGGATCCGGGGCCCAGCCAGAGGGCGCGCACAAACAGTGGCCGCGGGGTCTCTGGTGCAGGACAGGAAGCTAGAACGCGCAGACCTGTCCGGGTACACAGAGTTAGCGCCATCTGGCCTTCTGACCCCCGTTATGCCACCCGGAGCTGGTCACCCGCTCTGCAGCTAGGCGCGCCCCCTGCCTTCCGGCTATTGGCTGGCAGATAGGCTGGGCTCGTCGGATTGGCTCGCATCCAGACGCTGATGGCTGGCGCCCGCGGACCTGCGCAGAGGCTGGGCGGGGCTCTTTGCTGGGTTGTACAGATTGGTGGAGGCGGGGTCCGCTGGACCTGTTGGGGCGGAGAGGGGGCGCGGGAGACCCAAGCTCAAACTTTCGCTGTCCTCAAGCTCCTTTCCCACCCCCCAACTATACTATATATAGAGAGAGAGAGAGAGAAAAAAAAAAACTTACCTCTGAATACCAGTAACTCTGATGTAGGCAGGCTGAATAATTTACTCAAAGCAGGCTGGACACAACCCTCCATACCTGCCCTTTCTTTCCAACCTGGGTCTCACTCATTCAACATTATTTGTTTGTTGATTTGTTCATTCAAATGTTTTCCAGGGGCCAGGCACTAGGGAACTGAAGTGAGAGAAACTGATTAAACATGGCGAGGGGGCGGGGAGCCTGGGAGATGGAGGAGCTTACACTTAAGATGGGTGCTCTTTCCTTTTAAGTCATACTGCAATAAAAAAGAAGAAATTAATCGAATGGCTACCAAATTATATTCTAGAATTAATGGTTGTATGGCCCTCAACTGTTTCCTAATCTCTGCCTTTTATCAACTGAAGCTGGAAAACATCTTAGATGAAGATCCAAAGAAATGAGAGTGTAAAAACACTTTGTGTTGTATATATACATTGAATGCCATCCCTCAAAATGCATTCTTTGGTAAGAATATCAGTATTGGTAGTAATAATAATAATGAAGTAAAATAGAAAAAAGGCTGGGCATTATGACTCTCACCTGTAAGGAATCCTAGCACTTTGGGAACCTGAGAGGATCACTTAAGGCCAGAAGTTTGAGACCAGCCTGAGGAATAAGCAAGACCCAATCTCTACCACCACCACCACAATGACAAAATTAAATAACTTCTCTCTCTCTCTCTCTTTTTTTTTTTTTGCAGTTTTTGGCCAAGGCTGGGTTTGAACCCGCCACCTCTGGCATATGGGGCCAGCACCCTACTCCTTGAGCCACAGGAGCTGTCCAATAACTTCTCTTTTGGAACAAATCCTTCCAACAGACAATTATTAACAGGCACTTAATCCTTCCAATTATTAACAGGCACTTTGCTGGAAGTTAGGTGGGAGCTTCTAAAGTGAATTGGGAGACAGTTCCTGAAGCAAGGAGATTACAGCTTGGCTGAGAAC